TCACAGGCTAGAAACTATTGATTAGTCCCATACAGATTTACAGTGAGGGCAAGGAGACTTACATTGACAGGGTCCACGTCTGTGTTGCGGTTAATGGTAGCCCAGTACATGACATCCACACGCTGTCTCCCATTATTTCCGAGGATGTTAAGGTACTGGAAGAGAAGCTCCAACTTATCCTGGGTGTAAGTATGCTTCACAAAGGACCACACGCCATTGTTCGGGACATCATAGATCTTCTGGGTGAAAGAGGTCACAATGCCAAAGTTATGGCCAGCACCTTTCATCGCCCAGAACAGGTCGGACTCAGGCCCCTTGTCCGTCACGGTGCGGATCGCACCATCGGCAGTTACGACTTCCAAGGAGACAAAGTTATCTGCGATGAGGCCGTGGCGTCCTTGCAGGTACCCGTGGCCACCACCAAGAGCAGGTCCGAGGAATCCAGTGCAATCACAAACACCAGTCACTTTTTAAGCTGGTTAGTGGGTGTCCGCAATAACGCGCATATTCATATCAGTGCTCACCAGTCTGTTTGCCGGATGCCCATAGGGATTCAATAACTTGATGCGAGAGAACACCACCACCAAAGGTAGCTGTGTCTCCTTTCGCTGATATTTGAACCGAATTGAGCTTGTGCATCCAAATCTCAATTCCGTTGTGGACATTTTCCAAGGTGTCAATATTTCCATGGCCACCGTTGATAGCAATGAAGGATACATTGTGTGCGGTGGCATATTTCACCTAGTTTCCGTCAGCATATAGCTACGATAATATCACATAAAAACAAAAAGAAAAGAGAAATTCACCGTTTCAACAACATCGTACTTGTTCGCAACCTCAACAACAACGCTGATGTTGGGTTTGCCAAATTGCGACCACCGTGCAGTAGCATTATTGAACAAAGCACTCCCAGGGAAATAAATGCTAGCATCACTTGACAGTTTCCCTCCAAGCTCTGAGCCAATGTTGGCATCGGATTGTTGGGCGTGACATTCCCTGAGAAGTGTCGCGTAAAGAAGGCTGGATGCCCAAAATTTAAGGGACCTTGTAACCATATTGGTAAAATCTCACAAAGCCCGTGTCGTGTCGTGTCGTGTCGTGCTGTGTCGTGTCGGTACTGGAGGGAAAACCAGAAAACAACTGCTGAATGGGTCGTGAAACGCGCCATCTTTATAATTCAGCGCGATGTCCCTGGAATGTAGGTCCAACTCTGGCTCTTCCTGCTTGCGGATAGGTCAATCTAGTTCGCAAAAAGTATGCCCATCCCTTGCTGTGTAGATCGTACACGATTGCATATCGCACTGCATGCCTGCCCGGTCACAATTGGCTGTCTTCGGCAAATGTCAAACGAGGATATTGTTTCCGTTGTTGTTATGATGCCTCACGGTATGACAGATGCCATCTTGGTAGGTGGATTCAATCGCCTCAGCTGGAATCTTATTGATCCGACTCTCTCGGGGATTGTTTTCTTGTTTTCATTTCCCTTCTCTCAAGAATTCAAAACAACGGACGCCACAAGACGCCCCCTTCCTTCGGAATGCATCCACAACCACACAAAATTAATACCAAGAAGCAGGCGTCAACCAACTATTCCATGGATTCGATTGCTCCATTTTTTTGTGTGTGCCCCTTCTCAAGAATTGACTTTCGGCGTCTATGCTTCGTCCAATTGCAATTCATAGAGGTTTGTGGAGGCCCGAGAGCATGGACTATGGCCCCTTCCGCATTCCTCTAAATCACAGAAGGGATGCGTTGGGATACACCCGAATTCATCGACTATATTTATCACAGGAAAATTGTATCTATACTTTCCAATGGCTGTGAGCAGTTCCCAAATAGTAATCAGGGAAGCAAAATTTAGCACAACATCGCTTCATTTGAATGCGAACTGTAGGCGGCCAAAACAGTCCATCGGTCCGTTCCTAGAATGAGCCCTTCATACCGGACGGACTCAATCACTGCTGTTTGACATTTCTTTAATGCCTCTGTAGCAGTTTTAACAGCATCTCATCCCATGATTCAATAGCCCATTACGTTACCGGAATCTTCACACGATCAAATATTAGCAAGAATCATGTCCCAACCCAGCTATCGAATATTTGTTTTAGTTTTATCCTTTACATATTGCTAGTACTCTTCGCATATAGTAGTAGAATAATAACTACTGAGGTGACAAATATATTGTCGCTGCTGCTAGTGGTAGAGAAGTATGGACACATGACTCATGGAGACGACGGCTGATTAGGGTTTAACTCTTCTACTCCAAGTTAAGAATATCATCCCAAGACATCGACACTTTCATAGCACATATCTCCCATAAAGGTGGCTGTATCAGCGCTATAATACTAGATTGATCTGTTGAGAGTGATAATACTGTCAGGACGATTGCGGGTTTGTTCAGGGACTACTCCGTGCTATTCTGCTAGTGTGATCTAAATAGTTTTCAAAACACACGCCTCACCCTTGACTGGAGGCGTTCCTGAGCATAACCAGAGCTTCATCCCCTTCCTTAATCCTCTTTTCTGCACGTGAGAGTGGTGTCAGGCCCTTTGGGTCTGGGCAAATTGGATCAGCGCCCTGGGCGAGAAGAACTTGGACCACCCTGCTCATCTGGTCACTAGACCACTCAGGCTCCCATTCCCCTTCTTCATTTTTTAACTCCGCAAGCCAAGTGACATCGAACGGTTCCACTGCATATGAAAGTGGCGTTCTACCGTCAGTATCCTTGCAGTCTGGCTCCGCGCCCTTGTCCAGGAATATATGGACCAGTCCGGCACGTTTCATCATAGCCGCATAGAATATGGGGGTCCTCCCAGATTTATCGCAGCAGTCAATCCGGGCGCCCTTCTGAAGTAGGAGCTGGACGTTAGCGTCGTACATGTCGACCATCTCGGGGGAGTGCACCAAATGGATGGCAGATAAGAGAGCCCAGAACAAGGGCGTGCGACCCATCGTGTCTGGAATATTGAGGTCCACACCATCTGTTTCAAGAAGCAATGGCACCATTGGAGGAACAATGCCATCATGGCAGTCTTGCCATACAATATTCGTCGCCCACGATAGGGGAGTTCGACCGTGGCGGTCTATGCTATTTGGATTAGCGCCCCTCGCCAGGAGCATCCGCGCAGTTTCAGGTTCTTCGTGATAGACAGCCCCATGCAATGATGTCCACTCCATCTCCCCGTTACTGACCTCGATATTTGCCTGGTATTTATCGAGGAGGAGCTCAACGGTGGCCTTCCTGCCCCATCGAACAGCCAGCCAAAGTGGCGTGTAACCATCCTCATCCTTATCATCGACATCCACGCCATCTATCCCAAGCAGTATGTCCAATATATTAGTATATCCCTGCCAGGCGGCGCCGTGCAGGCCGCTTTGAGCATCTGCGACTTTCCGGTCGTGAGTCAACCCGTCCCTCGCTAGAAGAAAACGGACCATTGCCTCATCTCCGCCGTCTAAGTTGCTCTTCGCAGCAAAGTGCAGTAAGCCCCGGCCCTTTGCATTGACATATTCTTGACCGGGGATCTTCTCCAAGAGCAGCCTGAGCAGTGGCTCATTTACCCGCTGCGCAGCAATGGACATTGCAGTTTCACCGTATTTGTTCTCGACGTCCAGTCTTACTCCTCGCGCTAGGAGGAGCTCGCCCATCCCATCATGCCAGCCTGCAGCGTGCATCAGCAGGGTCTCGCCCCTTCCATCCACACAATCTAGGTCGGACACTTTGTCAAGCAACATTTTGAATATTGTCATATCGTGAGCTCTTATTGCAGATCTTAATGGGGCATAATTATCAGTGGAGTGGTTCGGGTCAGCACCCGCCTCCAGAAGGAACTGGACCATCGTCTCATTCCCGGCTTCGATCGCGGAAATCAGAGGTGTGTGGCCCGACCGATTCCTTTTGTTACTTCCGCAGGGTGCCGCAAACCTCAAAGGGATATGGTCCGCCAAATCCGTTGTCTCGATATCACCGCCGGCCGCAAGAAGGATCTCAACTACTTCTTTATGGTCCAGTGCCACGGCATGATGGAGGGGAGTCCGCCCTGCACGGTCCTTGGGATCAGTAGTCACCCCTTGCTGTAGAAGGAACCGGACAATTTCCTCGAACCCGTGCTTCGCTGCACGTAAGAGAACAACATCCCCCATGGTAATCTTGCAGTCGACGGACTCTCCTTTGCCTTGGTGGGATCTGGTTTCGGTTGCGTGTACATGGCCCAGATATGCGTTTAGATCGTGTAGGAGATCATGACAGCCTTTAGAGATCTCATTGTAACTCTGATGATCGCCTACTGGATCCCAATCATCGAGATCGCGGTCTTCACTTTCGCGCAGCATATTTTGCAGTCGCTTGACACTAGCCATCTATCTATCAGCCATCCATAACCGGTTGAGCTTACATTTACTTGAACTCTTGAGACTCACTCGTCTAAACCGGCATCGTATTGGGCGGGCGCATCGTTAGATTGCTTCCGCACCGTGTCAGCCAGCTCCACGATGGCATTGAGATCTTTCACGCAGTAGTCAGAGCGCATTGTCGCATTCGACTTACAACCAGGTAATGAGAGGTGAGGGTTTGGGGGATAGATAGTTGGGGGCTATGCTATACGGCTTACGTGGAGTTAGGCAACGAGTCCATGCGACTGACTAGCTAGGGCTTTAGGAGGCTATGTTGGATAACGACGGTTTGAACCGCGTAGTTAATGTAACTGTATCGTTCAAGAAAAGCGCGTTCAGATATATGCTATCCCTGAATTTTAGATCCTTTCTTATGAATAAGTTATTCAGCAAGGGATGATGAGAGGGTCACGTGGAGGATATATATACACATAAAAGGAAGATAAGCATGATCATATATATACATATATTTCACCAGGAAGTGTCAATGCAGGTATGGACTATTTTAATACTAGCCGGTAGCTATCCCTAACTCGGAACAAAAACAAAAAAGGGCTTCTCAGCCCAAGAGCTGAGAAAAAATAGAAAAAAAAAAGAAAAAAAGAACAAGGGACGGGCCGGGTTCGAACCGGCGACCTAAAGATAGGTTGCAATATTTGGTTAACCAGGAGGTCATTGCAATCTTCCACTCTACCACTGAGCTACCGCCCCATTGGATGAAAGAATCATTTCAAGTATGCTCTATGTTCAGAAGTTTTTAAGTGAGTAGGGCATTTCCGACTTTCCATCTGCACTTCCAAGTCCCTTAGTCCTTCGCGAAACCAAATCAATAATTGTGGTTAAACATATGGCATTAATATATGTATGATTTTCGGTCGGATAGCGGTTCCCTTTGGCATACAATAACCCGTTGTTGGTATGTAAGCTGCTTTTCTGTGTGTCTCTTGTTGCGGGGCTTTGCAATTATATATTTTGAACGCCGAAGTGTATGCCTTTCATGCATCTCAAAATTTCGATGTGAGCACCTATTGGAAACACATGTGGTACAAACAGACAAGTTCATGGCGTGGCGTACAATATTATCATTCGTATGTATCGTACACATTATTAAGGGTGAAATAGAAGGTATGCCTCCTAGGTGGAATATGACCTGTTGCTGAGTACGAAAATTGCATGATTCGAGTGAGAGCTGCCTTGATTATCGCTAGACACCTCGGTCTATAGAAACCTGATAAATACAGGACTGACTCGCAGTTCAATTTAGCTATGCCTGCGACAATGGCCGTGTACTCGGGCAGCAGGCACCACTGCACGCATGCAAACAGATGGGGAGTCTATGCGACTAATTGGTAGGATACTGTATATGTTTTACTCGGTGAAATCGGCTTGACGAAGAAGACAGTAATACCTCCACTTGGACTAATTATAGAGCTATACTGACTAGACAACTAATCTTTTAGCAACCCTCCAGTGCGCCGACTGCCGTTCTCGGTAAGATAAATCATGACCGCAGTTATGCCAGTTGATCCATGTTCACATTCTACCCCAATAGCCATTAATCGTAGTCGTTCTCATGATGCAGAAATACCGAGAAACTCAAACGAATCGGAAACAGTCGTTAATGAACAACATCTTTTCCTTTTTTCCCCTCCTGAAAATCATCACGAGTGTATCACATCCATATACTCATCTATTAACACACCCGTGGTATTTGGTTCAGATGATATGTTGCTTTTTTTTACCGGATTCCAGGGGAATCATCAATTATTACCACCATCAGGTTGCCCTGGGACATTTGCTCGAGTCTTGGACTTGAGATTCCAGAGAGCATTCACAGTCGACAGGGCACACAGAACCGCTGTGCCAATGTTAGTCGCAACTGAGCCGGGCGAAAAGGGGGAAAAGGAGCAAACGAACCGATCACGCAATTCATTTCATAGTACCCGACCTGCTCGGTTAGATACCCAGACAAGATGGGGCCGATGAAGGCCCCTGCTGTCCAGCCCATGCTCGACACAGACAGCGCCCGCGAGTATCCGCCATTAGGACCAAAGATACCGGGATGTCTGGCTTCAATCTCGTCGATCGTCACTAAGGCAAGGGAGGGCAGTGTTAGCAAATACAAAACAAATCCAATGGCATTTTTTGACGCAGCATACATGTAGCTTCAATGGTTCCTGCACCATTGAGTAAACACGAGAATGTCCCCACTGCAGTCACGCAGACAGCATAGACGATTTGTCCCGTGTTACCACCATTCACCCAGGGAAACCGATCATCGCCAGGCATGCCTAGCACCCACATGATGGGCGTCAGGATGGCGAAGCCCGCGGCGGTTGGGTACCGTGTGCCATAGCGATCCTTGAGCCAACCGCAGAGCGGGCTCATAATGATTCCCGGGCCTTGAAGGGCGGCAAACAATAATCCCGACATCATGCTACCCCAATCGAATTTGTCCCGAACATGGAGAGGGATGGTGGTATCGAAGCTGGAAATCAGAATGGCGAACACGAAATAACTCATGGCGCCACAGACGAATTGGCGATGCCGGAAGAGATACGTATAAAAGTGCCACCCCTTCTTTTCCTCGACAATGGTAGCATTGCTCGGTAGGAGGGGGTCATTCTCGGGATCTTGGTCATCGCCACGCGGCGTCCCTGTTGGCGATCTAGGTTAGAGACTGAATAGGCGCTCATTTGAATTGCAGACAAAGACTCACCCGGTTGAGTCCTTGGTCGCTCGATCATCAACACGCGGAGTATAATATCCACTATAATGATGGCGAAGGCACTCGACCATGCCAACCAGTATCCACCCATCTCAAAGAGTATGCCGGCAGCCATGGGTCCTCCAGAAGTACCTACGGCCACGACGAGGGAGATCATCCCATACGTCTTGCCGAGGTGTTCCTGCTTAACATTGTCCGCAATCGTCGCATATCCCACCGTCCAGATGAACGCACTCGCAATTGCTTGGACAAAACGACCGAAGAACAAGGTGAACGCTATTGTCGCAACCGTCAGCCATTACTCCGTGAACAGGCGCAGCCAACACTTTATGCTTGGATCAAAGACATTGTACATACTTGTAGTCGCCATCGCCAGGATAATTGTGGAGAATAACGCAGCCGCCAAGGAACCGAGCAACAATATCTTCTTCGAAGACATCTGGTCCGCATAGTGGCCAATGAACGGGCTGCAGACGAGCGATGCGATCGAACTCAACGCCAGCAATGAAAAGCTCATGCGCTGGGTCAGGGACACATCGAGACCCAGACGGCTTTCCAGGATGTAGGGGAGGATTGGCACAATAAAGGTGAACAGGAAAACATCTGGTGGAATTTGTTGGTTAGAAACACCTGAACACTGTTAACGCGCGGGGAGGGTAATGCGATCAATACCAGTGAACAGCGCCATTGCCATGGCGCTGACAATGAAGAGCGGCGAAGACCGCCATTTGTGGCCCCATACCGACCCCCGAGAAGTGGTGAACTGCATGGTGTAATCTCGACTATACAAGCAGCCGTGGACGACTTCCCATGAGCAAACCGTTGGCGAAGGAAGGGAAAGAAAAAAGCCATGCGGAGAACATAAATTCTTTTATCGGGATTCCAGTGGAGGAGCAACTAATCAATTCTCATTAGTCAACTCCTCCGAGACCCACCATCCTCGAAACCTATGAGTAATACGGAGGAGCGAGATGGGTTTTCAGCTTACGGCCAGCGGCTGGCAACCCGGCTGATCCTGACTATCATAGTCATGCAGTTCGTCCCAGCTATGCGTGTGGCGTGCAGGTCATTTGCAGTTGAGTTCAAGACAGCTGAGTGGATCAACAATCCCCCCCAAGCATGTCCCCTGCGGCATTGTCCCAATACGGATGGGGAAGAGACCATGCTGGCCTGTGACTGGATGCTGGACTCGGCGGGTCGTCCGGATCGACAGTATTTTCGGGGGTCCACACCGTCATTTCAAGGTACAATGTGAAGCAACTTCTTCCACCTTGCAGCGATATATGCACACGGGTGAAACCATGAATCCCAAACCAAGATTTCTCTGCCATTGATGACGACTGATCCTACTATCCTACAGAGCACTCTCTTGGGGGTGGAAGGTGACCGCGAGGTATGTGAGGCCCAGGTGGGTGGTGTCGGAAAACCTCGAGCTGGTTAGTACTCGGAATCTGACCTAGGGCTTGGGGCATCACGACCCAGGCCCGGGAAAGTTATTTATCCCTTGGAGAAGATTTACAGCCACATCGTGGATCTGGGCTCCTCACTCGAGGTATAAAGTTTTTATGCGGCATTGATATATCACATTACCTTAAAAAAATTGTATCTCGCTTGCTCTTGCTGTTCCTTACCCCTTTTCTTGCTCTCACCATATTGAAGGTGACATCGGTTAGAGAAATTCTACCCCGCAAGCGGCACACGCCCTGGCGGTTGCACGGGCCGTGACAGTTGCATTGCCAAGGATACGAAGACTGCGATTTATACCACGACGGTGTGCCCCGCTCCGTCCTATCTCCATAGAGACAGTCAAGAAAGATGCTTATGCTTACTGGAGTCGACGAGGCTAAGCCGCATTTTACCTCCCCTGCTCAAGAATTGACGTGGGAACTTGATATTTATAACGTGTTGTAGGTACCTAAGAGAGTCGGTACGATTGGACTAATTTTCGAGGTTTCAACCTAGCGTCTGCTACCATGGAAGGTGTAGGTCTTCAGCGAAGTGATTAAATCGAATATCTCCACAAATGCACCCCGGGCAAGTGTATTATTCTTTGGAAGAGTGTCAGCAGACCGATCACGTCATTCATTACCCTGGATCATCGGGATGGGCATTATTAATCCCGATCTGCGTCGATCGCTACTTGGATAAGAATCCGGGGCTGGCTGGCTCTCACCCATAAATAGTCACAGAGTTTGGTCAGGGGAATGGGGGCATAGCCGAAAGCTTCTTGCTATCGTGATCCTCATAGTCCAATACTTTGCTTAATTCATATCCAGAAGCGAACTTATATGCTCCATGCAGCAAGTCTCCCTGTTACCGATTCAACGTCCGAGGTTCGATCGGATGGAAGCTCTTGTTGAGATCTGCAGTCGTCAAGTGGCGTCGTCAACTAATCGATACCAGCCAAGCTCTTAGGAATCCAGCCCAACCCCTTCAAGAGGCATGCTAGGGCAGATAAGCTAATAGAACTGTATCATGGGATGGAGGATCGTCTCGGATACTCCCGTGTTTCTTTTGCCATAACCCAAATCTCTACTATGCTTTCTCCTATTTTTAGCTTCGAGGTATAGCCTTACTGCGAACCTTATAATCGGAGGGCGAATAAAACAGAAAAGGCCTACTATTAGACTATTCTTAGGATTCTTCTATAGTCAGGCGACCTCCAGTTCACACCGCTGTAATCCTGAATAGCTCAGCCCTAACAATCAGCAGCTCTGAAGCAATCTTTCTTTTGTCAAACAGTTATACCTTGCTGAGAGCCCACCTAGCTTGCTAGAATCCATCCACTACAGGAAATGGAGGAGTAGTAACCTCGTAATATCTCAGCTCGACATGCCACCAGTGAACTATTTTTTTTTTTTTTTTTTCTCTTTAAAATGATTCGCGGGAAAAGACTTCTTCCCTACATCATCAGTGGTGGGGCCATCGACATGCTAACGGAAATACGGCACAAGGGATCAAAAACCGGCCATAGCGTCTCAAC